GTGTCAACGTTCAGAGACAAGAAAGATGAGCTGCCAGACTTGGTCTAATGATATATTAATGAAAACTACTGCTAGGAAATTATATGGTGATGCTAATTGGTATTTGCAGGTTTAAGGACCTGAAATCTTTCCCTGTTACACTAAATACCTGTGTAAGAAAGAGCCCAGAAGACCTGACTGGAGGTATTAACTTTTCACTATCACATCAGCAAGTCCATATGCACTAGGCATTTCCCACTGAGAAGGGAAGGAAGGGAAAACCTCCCATGACAGGTTAACAGCATGATTTGCAGCACCAGCTTAAAGAAATGGTTGCAGGCACGACAGACTAGCAGGCAGCTAATCCTTTAAACACTTCAGAGCAGCTACAACTTCAGCCCAAGTAAGTATGTCAAAACAAAATTAATTAGTGGTGACTAGTGGATTTGTTCTCCTTCGTTTGAACAGCCCAGGATGAAGCTGTGATTCTCTCACAGAACTGAGGCTTCAGTGCCAAACCTGCTATTTCACAGGAGCTGAATGTCCTCTCCAAGAAGATCCATCACAGTTTTGTTCCTCTCTGCAGCTGCAGACCTGGAAAGGCTCTCCATGAATTTCAGGGAGTGTTAGAGGAGCTCCAAGAACAGCCTCTGTGCTTCTCTGGGGATGAGGACAGCAGCACAGCTCAGCATCCAACCCAAGTACAGTGTGGAGGAAGGAAATGTCACTTCCTGATTCTTATCAGCCATGAGCTCTATCCATGCAGACCACAAAACAGATTCCCAATAATTGCCTTACTTCCCATTAAAAATTGCTTAACACTTTCCTAGACACAGTGGGAGCAGGAAAGGAAAGGCCTCAAGGTAACAAGTACCAAACCAGCATTAACCAAAGGCTGCCCAAGCCCAGGGAAGTAAAACAGTCAATGAAATCAATTGGAAACAATAATTTCTAAGCCACAATTAAGTTCTTCTCCCCTTAGCTCCATCTCAGAACCAACCAGCTCCCTTGGGAGGCAGGAATCAGTCACAGCCTGATGAACTGTCTGGGCTATTTTTGGTCAAATCTAGCATTCCTGGAGTCCTGGAGCTGCTTGTGTACTAAGGAAGGAGAAAGCAACTGCTGAGCACATCTCACATGGGAGATGTCTCACGTGGGACATGGAGTGCCACCAGCCTTGGAGCATGGAGACACCACTGGGCTCATCACAGAGCTCTGGGAAAATGGCAAAGAACGTTAGTTTTCCCCAGGTTGAGAAGGCAGTGAGTGAAGGCAGCACTGCTGACCTCCCTGAGCTGGGAGAGGCAAACCAAAGGTCTCTGCTGGTGGTTGGGAGGGCAGAGACATCCGAGGACCAGATGATCTCACTTACCCACTGAAGTGATGCAGCTCCTGAGCACAGCAGTGAGGAGACCAACTGGAAAGGCAGGATCAGCCAAGGAGGCCTGGAGGAGCTTTGCAGGTAAAGATCTTGGGAAGAACAGGAGAAACACCCCAAGGGAAGGGCCAGGAGAGAGCTCAAGGTGTGGTTCAGGGAGAGGCAGAAGACTGAGGAGCAGTTGTACGACGTTTGGGACTTTTAAAGGACTAGGCAGGAGGGGGAGGAGTATGGAGAGCCCATGGAGAAGCTCATTCAGAGCAAGACGTAAGCAAAGCCCAGATCTGATTAGAAGGGACAGAACTGTTGTGCCAAGTCATTTCTTCCTGCCCCGAGGGGTTTTATGGTCTCTTGTGCCACATCACGTCCACATGGGCACAGAGCAGCAGCACAGCTGAGGCTGCTGTGAGCAGCGAGGCCACGTTCAGCTCACTGCAGGTCACAGAAAGCAAAGCAGGCTCAGGGCTGGGCTGAGCCTGCCTGACAGGCAGCAGAGCTGTCCAGAGATGCTGCTGCTCCAGCACAGTGTTGGGTTTATGGCTGTATTTACAGCCAGGGGTTGTAGCTTGGCATTCTCTGTCCCTCATTTCTGCAGGTGTTTCACACAGCTTCTGCTAAAATGCTTCCAGGACTGAAGTCAACAACCTGCTGGGCAGCTCAGCCCCCTCACACCCAGCCCAGGCCTTGAGGATGAGCTTATCAAAAGGAAGTAGAAATCACTGCCAAGAAAAGATGAACAAGGAGTTCCACACTCAAGTTTTCTCTTGCTGCATCACTCTGAGACCAGGGATGGGTCTTGCTCTTTTCCCCATCCCATGAACCTCCACCAGCACAAGCACAGGGAGCATCTCAGAGAGAAGGGTCAACAGTGAGGCCAAAAACCCACAGAGCACAAGTCAAATTGCTGCCTGGAGGATTTGCACCTGCTTTGCCAGGATCAGACTGCAGTGCCTGCAGCTGCTTCCCCATAGAGGGAGAGGAGGGGAACAGGCCCCACTCTGCCCTGGAGGGCACAACATGCTGCTAACAATGAGCCACTGCAAACCAGGAGCAGAGGAAGAGCTATTTCAGATCTCCATCACCTCCCAGGATTTGCAGTTGATGTCTGCAGCTGCCCAGGAGCCTCCACTGTTGCCTTGTTTGTCCTCCCCTGTTTCTTCACTGAGATGGCTCACACAGCTTTGCTACACAGGGAGTTTCCTCTGATGTGATGAAGCTTGGGAACTTCACTTAGCTTTGTTCACTCAAAAAAGAAACCCCCAACAACCATGAGATTGACTTAAAATGCCTTTGCTTTTATAAAGAACCCACAGGGAAATTTCTCTGGTGGTAGCTCAGGCCAGAGGACTCTACAATCACATTTCCAACTTTCTTTCCAGCAACTTCATGGGATTAAATTAAGCAGGTAATTGTGTAGCTGCACCCTCCAACAGCAACAGAAGAACATCACTGAGGAGACATGAATCCAAGCACTCACAAACCAGAGAAAAGCCTGGAATCTGGCTGCCTGTTCTTCCTCCAGAGCTTCTGGGCATAATAACACCCTGTCAGGCTCCATAAATGCTGACTATTTTTCCCAGAGACAGCTGCCCTGAGTGCCCAGAATGGATGATGCTCAATAAAGGAAACAGCTACTCAGTGTTATCCTCATTCATCAGGGCTCAGCCAGTGACTTACTTGTCATTCAGGCCCTGCTCTAGAACCAGCAGCAACCTCAGAGCCCTTTTCCTGTTCCCCCCACTGCTGCAGCGAGTCAGTCACTGCTCCCCAACCCCATCACTCCCAGGGATTTACAGGAGGGAACTGGGAGCAGAGCCTTTACCCAGGGGAGGAGGCAGCAGCACATCCAGGGAGTTGGAGCAGCAAAGGAGCCAAACCAGCTGTGCAAATCAGGCAGGTCCAGCATGGCAGGAAAATTAAAAGGATCCTATTGTAATGTGTCAGCACAGAGGCACTGACACAACAGCCCCTTTAGGGAGGAAAACTTCATCCCTCATTCCACTCTCTCAATATAAATGTCAATTCCTGCTCTTTGGCAAGAGAAAACAACCCTGGCTGTTAGGGACAGCACAGCTGGACAACTGAGAGACATTTGAGACTTTGCTCTGGAGGAAAACTGGCTTTGAATGTAGTATGTCAGCTCAAAGAAGGAAGTCCTCTGCATTCAGGTTATTTCCCTTTTTAATTCCCTAGAACATTTCCTTTTTTTCCAAACTCGATACAAACCAAGTCCTGCAGAGCCACCCACAGTCTGGGGGCTTTGCCCACTGAGCAAGGACTGCACATGGGGTTCAAAGAGCCAACTCTGACCTGGAGCAGGGCTGTGGGTCATCCTCCCCCCTGCAGCAATCCCAGGTCCCAGCTCTGCCCCAAGGCAAGCCAAGGGGCCTGGGGAGCAGATGGAGCTGTTCTAAAGCTGCTGGCTCAGCAGAGCCTAATGCTGATTGCAGCCACTGCATCAGCACTTGGAGGCAACAGCAGACACAGCTGAAGCTGCAATCTGGCTGCCCAGAAGAGGTTTTAGTGCACTCTGAGACCTGTGAAGGTGAGAAAGAGAAGCTTATGGTCACATAGAATAGAAACTTTATTCATGTTAAATGCATCCACTTACATCTCTCTGTGTCACACGTTCTGCAGGACACTGAGACATGCCCAGCTCAGGAGAGACACAGAATGGAGCTACCACTCTGTCTGCCCCAAACAACACATCACTGAGGCTGGCAGAGCAATCCAGGTGGGGTTTATTGAGTGCAAACTACACAGTTTCTTTGCACTGGTCTAGGCAGTTATGCACAGCATATGATCTAGACAAAGACAAAACAGCTCCAAATACACAGACAGTTGGAATTCAAGTGTCTCCAGTATCCACATTAGTCAAACCCAACCTTTGTGGTATGGAGACACGTGAGCCCCGGTCTGAATTCCATTCCCTCTCCTGGTATCCATCTGGTTGTTTAAAACAATAAGCAAAACTCAACCACAGTTCCTGTGAAGGGTAAGTGGAAAGCAACAGTGGCATGGGAGAAGGTTGTTTGGGAAGAGTGTGTTTGTGAGGGAATAAGCTTGGTCAGTCTGACAGGGAGTTGGGTAGCAAGTGTAAACTGTTTCATGCCACTGCTGCTTTCCCCCCCTGGTACACACCAGAGTTTAGCTACTCCAGGCAAGCTCAGCACAAGCACTTTGGAAGCATTTCTGATGGACAGAGAGCAAAAGGAGAATTTAACTATGGTGTTTGTCTGCAAAGGTAAACCCACAATAACCACAACCTCATGGAAAACTAGGACAAACTTTATAAAACAGGAAGGGGAAAAAAAAACCTAACAAATATCTGTGGCTGAAACCTGCTCATCTATTTTTGGAAGATTGCAAGAATTGCCTCGCCCAGGAAGAACTTCCCAGCAACCAGAATTATGTAACCTCAAGAGGAAAACCACCACAAATCACATGTTCTTCCCACCTCTTGCTGCAATTCCCTTTGGTCAATTCTATGTTCGAGCTCCCACCCCCCAAACTGGAAAACCTGCACGGCCTCAAGCCCAGAACTGGCATCATGTGGCAGCTCAGCTGAGAGCTGCCAGGCCCTGATATCCAGGTACCAACAGCTCTGGCCACCAAGCTAATTAGAGTGGGGTTAGAGAAGTGCTCAGTCGTCGAAGTCGGGGATGTCATCGTAGGAGTAGCCTCGGTAGCCCTTGGAGGCATAGTAGGCAATGCGCAGGTGGTAGAAGCCTGGGAGGAACACCAGGATGCCAATGATCAGCACAGGGATGGCACGGTCTGTTTCCTGCAGGGGAGAGAGCCAAGGGCAGCAAGACATCTGAGTGGGCAGAGTCTCCTTTCTCTTACATCCTGCCTGCCCTACTGGAAGTTGTCCCATGAGAGGCTTTGGAACAAGGTGATCTGTAAGGTCCCTTCCCACCCAAACCATTCCATGGTTCTGTGATTTATCCCTAAGGCTTGGAGGGGTCACAGGGACACCAGTGTGCCAGTGACAGGGTCAGACCCAGCCAGAGGCAGCTCTGGCACCTGCCCAAGGAAATGCTTTTTAAGGAAAAAAACAGCTTCGTGGAACTTCTCCACTAAAACCCAAAGCAGCAGAGCAGGGAAGGGTCTGCTCTGCTCAGGTGGGACCCACCTGGAGCACAGGAAGGCTCTGTGATTCACCCCTGAGGCTTGGCTAGCTGAGAATAAAAATCCATCTCTGCATTATGAATGGACCACAAAAAGGTCCATTCCAACAATGTAAGATTGTGTCTTACATCAGCAATATCTCAGTTGTCATCAGGCTGAGCCCTAAGTCCTCTCCTGGCTGCAGGAAACCCTCAAGTGACCTCCTCCTTTGGGTGGGAGGGGTGGCTGCTCCTGGCCCCACCACCCACAGATCCCTGGGCAGGGCTGGGTGCTGCCAGCAGGGCCAAGAGCAGCTCCACTGTGCCTGGACTGCTCCTGATAGAGCCCAAACACTGTTGGCTCCATGGTGATAACAGAGCTGCAACCACAAAGGGATTCCATGCGGCTCGAGGTGAATGGAGAGAAGCACCAAGTCAGGTCCAGCAGCAGATCATAACCACAGAGAGGTGGGAAAAACACTGCTGTGCCCTCTGTAGTGGTCTGAGATCTCCCACCCATGTCCCCAGATGATCTGCACTAGGAGCCACGACCTGAGTCTGAAGTTTTTCCAACACATATCTCAGCTCAGTTTGCTAACATTAAGGTGACACTGTACCCAGGGAGGCTCAGCCTCCTGGAAGATCTCCAGCCCCACCACAATCTGCTCCAGACTGCCCAACTGCAGATGTCAGAGGCTCTGCTGCCAGGCATGGTGAGGCTGTGGGGAGGCATGACCTTCCTGCTTACAACCCTTTGGCTCTGAATCCCTACCCTGAAACGATCCCAGAACCATGGAATCATTAAGGCTGGGAAAGACTTTTAAGCTCATCAAGTCCAACCACCAACCCAGCTTTGAGGACAAGCAGTGCAGAACCCTAAGAGCAGCACCAAGGATCCACTTACACCTTTGCTGATGTATCCTGCCAGGAGCAGAGCTCCAATGATGATGAGGAAGGTCCCAATCATGAAGAGCACAACAGCCAGGGCGATGGCCTTGTAGGGGATTTTGGGTGGGCTCTTCTTGAACTGGGTGGAAAAAAAAAACCCAAACACTGAACAGCTAAACTCAGCACAGCTCCTCTCCCACCACACAGAGAGGTGACTGCCACAGCTGGCAAAGCCTCCCATGCAATGCAAAGCTACAGCTTTCCTTCCCCACTTCATACCTGAAGGTCAATATATCCATCATCAGTGCTGGAGAGCTTGGAATACTTGACTTTGCTGCTGGGAATCCCAGCAGAGAGGTTGGTACGTGATGGCATTATTACCCAGGAGCCTGAGCCTCAGCTAGAGCCTGGGGACAGAGGGGAGAGCAACACACTGAGGACAAGCTGGCAGAATCTGAGGGCATGGGTCAAGTTTCTGAAGGCAACCTGAAGTTCACAGTTGGCTCTGCTAACCAAAAAACATCTTGCTTGTTCTGCATAAATTAAAACTTTTCAAATGATGTACTTAAGTATTTCATGTTAAGCCTAATGATGTGGCTATAGCTGCAACAGGATTTGTCAATCTTGGGAAGCAAAGTCAAGCTAAGAGATATGGATATAGCTGCAACAGGATTTGCCAATCTTGGGAAGCAAAGTCAAGCTAAGGCAGGAGTTGTCTTTAAAAGCAGACTGGAATTCCAGAATGCTGGACAAGGCAGCTCCCATTTCACAGGGAGATCACACTGCCAGCAGGGCCATGTCCCAGCTCCAGCTGTTTCTAAACAGGGACACCAAATAAACCCAGACCAGGACTAAACAAAGCAGCTTTGCAACCAGGAGGATATTTTGCAATAGAGCAATCTTGCAAAAACACCCAAACCAACAACCACTGGAAACTGGAATAAAATGGAGGTGTCATGGAGACAGCTCAGGCCATGACTCAGAGGGAACATGAGGAGGGGACAGAGTGGTGAGGGATGAGGTCACCAAAGCACCAGCCAGGAGCTGAAAGCACAGCTCAGTGCGGAGGGGCAGAGCTGGCTCGAGTTACACCAGTGCCCTGCTCTGCTGTGTCACCACGGCCAGCCCAGTGCCAGCAGGGACAGGGCAGAGCCAGCTGGTCCCTGCCCTTGGAGCCCACCTGCCCAGGGATGGAGCCAGGTCTGGTCTGCCAACACCTCTGAGCCTGCAGAGCCCAGACAGGGCCTGGCACCTCCTGGCAGCAGGGCCACAATTCCCAGGAGAGGGGCAGGAAAGACCTTCCCACGCTTTCCAGCCTCAATAGAGCTTTTATTTCCTGAGAAAGCATGGACTAAAGAAAACAGAACTGCATGTCCCAACTGTGCCAACAGGAAGGGATAAAGACACTGTTTCCATAACACCTAAGGTGATGCATCTCCTCAAAACATTGGAACTGAAACCCTCTGTCTCCCCATTGCTAATTGCTGGCACATTCCCCATTCTGGTTCCTTCTTCCTGCTGTAAATTTGACTTTCATAACAACCCAACAGCCTCTGATCTTAAACCCCCATGGCTGAACTTTTAATTTGAACTTTGGGCTTTTTTTTTTTTTTTGGTGGCAAAACCAAAACACAGACAAAACATTTTTAACCCCATCTCAGTGGAAATACCACCCACCTACAGGGTGGCATTCCCTGCTCCTTACACATCCAGTTGCTCTGCCCTTCCCATTACCTCACTTACCAAACAGAAAGAGGTTATTAAGGATAGATGCATAAAAAATACTCTCTCAGACCTCACATTCAAGGACCAGCTTCAATTCCACTGAGCTACAGGAAAGAGGAAAAATTCAGGTTAGATATCAGGAAGATGTTTTTCCCTGTGAGGGTGGTGAGACACTGGCACAGGGTGCCCAGGGGGGTATTGGATGTCCTGCCCTGAGTGTTCATTCCAGGTTGGATAAAACCTTGAGCAACCTGCTCCGCTGGGAAGTGTCCTTGCCCAGGGCAGGGGGTTGGGGCTGGATCATCTCTAAGCTCCATTCTAACCCCTAAAATTCCAAGATTCCCTCCCCATGAGCTTAGGGAGCACCACGACGTGGTCCAAGGGCAGGAACCAGCTCAGTGCTGTGCTCTTTAAGAGCCAAATCCAAACTGAACCGCCTGTAACTCGAGATTTCTGCTGTGACACTTGTACTCTAAGCCCCGGGAATTCTCCAGACCAGGATCGCGGTTATCCCTAAACACTGTGCATTCCCCTCGGGAACAAGGCAGGACGGGGATGTCCTTTCTCCCCTTGGGGAGAAAAAGCGTCCCCAACCTCTCCCGGTGTCCCCCCCGACGATCCCATCACCTCCGGGAGCTCCAGGCTGCGCTCCCGACCTCGCGCGGCTCCAAATTCCCAAGAATCCACCCCAAAACCTCTACCTGCCGCCGGCCAGAGCCATCGCCGCGTCCCTTCCGCGGAGCCCAGGAAGTTTATCCCTGCCACAGAGATTTCCTTCCAGGTCACGGCGGAGCTCGCGGCCGCAGCGCATTATTCCCACGCCCCGGAGGAAATTCCCACGCCCCGTGGGAATTTCCATCGTCATCGCATTCCCGGGTGGTCTGCGGGCCAAGGACCGCAAAGCCCATCCCATTCCCCCCTGCCCTGCGCAGGGACACCTTCTGCTAGGTTGCTACAAGCCCCATCCAAGCTGGAAGGGCTGCAGAGCATCCCCAGGAGCGCTGCTCCCAAGGGCAGGGGCGTGCGGAGCTCCTGTCCCCCAGCTCGGAGCGGGGACCAGTGTCCATCCCCAGTACATCACCCCCGGACACGGCACAGTTTGTCTCCTCGCCGGCACTGCCACCTGCTGACATCCTCCAGAGACATCTGCCCTTGCTTGTCTTTATTTCAAAATTCGTTCGTGCTCTGGATACTCCTGTGTGGCAAGTACACAGCCTGCTAAAAAAATTAAAAGGTACTAACGGAACTATCCAGGTTGGAAAAGACCTCTAAGGTCATCAGGTCCAACCATCAACCCATCACTACCACCATTTTCTCAGGTGACACATCTAAGTGTTTTTAGACACTTCCAGGGATGGTGATTCCACCCTGGAGTTGGCAATAGTCAACCTAAAACTTCCCCTGGAAGGGCTCAGGGAACACCAGCAGTGTGACAGAGCATTGATCCACTCATCCACCCATCCCTCCCTCTCTTCCCCCCTCCCTCCCCATTAAAACAGCGTAAACACCGTGAAATTATATTCTTTATTTGCATTTTCCAAGTTTCAGTTAGAACACCAGCTTAAAAATACAGGATAATGTAACTGAACAACCACCCTAAAAACTACAGCTCCAGGACTGGAACTCCAGGACACATCTTTGTTCATTAAATATTGCTTCCATTCTCCAACCAAACTGGAAAGGGGTAAGAAATTTCACCTAAGATATTACTGAAGTACAGAAATCGCCTAAAAAAACCCTCAAACATTTCTGGGATACCAGGATAGCAAAATAGTAAGTTGAAAAATATTTACAAAGATATCTACATGCCTAACAGTGCTCCTAGGAGGCTCCAAGGCACTGAAATTGCTACCACCACCCTCTTCCCTCCTCCAAGCCACATCCTCTCCAAAGCACTGGGCAGATCCCCTCAGTCCTGACCCAGTTAAGAGCCTTCTTGTTGGTCTTCAATCTTTGGGGCCAGGTAGTACTTCAGGTGTCCCATATCAGCAATCTTGTACTCCACCACTGAGGGGAAAGAGAGGGGAAAAAAAAGGTGTTCAGAAAGTTCTGCAGGAAATTCAGGCACAGTTCTTCGTGCTACAACGTTTGAGGCACTTGTACTTACCCAGAGGCACATCTGCAGACATGCTGAGTGTGACTGTGGGGGACAGGGGGGTGGCCTTGGTGAAGAAGTTCAGGTACCTCAGGGCAAAGGTCAGTTGGACAGGCTCATTCATCTCTATTGTCACCTGGAAAACCACCAGCCACGTCACACCACAGGAAACTCACAGCTCAAGGGCTGTCAGTGCTGCTCCCCCCACTCTGCTCAGCACTGCTGCAGGTCCTGGGCTCAGCACCTAAACTGCCAATGATCTGTGGACTCTGATCCATAAGGCAGAGGAAGATATGGTCTCTGTCCCTGCTCTGGGACAAGTGAAACAAGGTGGATCTTACTATCATCAGTGCTCAAGGACAGGTTAAATAAGGCCATGAGCAACCTGTTCTAGAGGGAGTGTTCCTGCCCATGGCAGGGAGGGTTGGGACTAGATGATCTCTAAGGTCCCTTCCAACCCAAAGGACTCGATGATCCAACCCCCCAGAGCAGGGAGTTCTGCCAGTAAAGCCTCAGCACTGCAGAGGCTCCACTTACAGCCTCCTCCTCCTTGTCCACGTTGCTGGTCTGGGACAGTTTGATGTTGCCATTGCCCAGTTCCCCGTTGGCAGAGAACTTCACTCCATCCTTGGTGCAGGAGATGACGACGGCGTCGCCGATGTGGCTCAGGTCTCTGCAGATCCGCGCGAACTCGGCCGAGGGCATCTTCACCACACAGCTGTACTCCTGCTCCTGGGGAGGAAACACCAGTTACTCCTGCACAAAGCAGCCTGGAGGAGCTACTGTGTTTGGTCTTCCAAAGAGGACCAGAGAGTGTAGTCAAGTCATTTGAGTCTCTACTTACTGGAATTCCAAGCTGCTCCACATCGAGGTCCATCAGCTTCATCTCATAGTCAGAAACCTTCTCCTGGTCTAAAGAAACCAAGCACAGTTTGGTCAAGTGTTTCTGAGACGTTATCAACCTAAATTTAGCTTTTATTACTCCTTCCCACCCCAAAATCACCTCAGTCATAGTATGTTAAGGGGTTGGAATGGAGCTAAGAGATGATCCAGCCCCAACCCCTGCCCTGGGCAGGGACACCTCCCACCAGAGCAGGTTGTTCAGGGCTTTATTCAACCTGGTTTTGAACACTGATGACAGTAAGATCCATCTCCTTAGAGCTGGAAATTCCCATGTGCCCCAAACAGCCTTTGGTAGGCTGGAAGAGGACAGGAACACACCAAGGGCATCAGTATGTGGCCTAAGGAAGAGCCTTTCTCCAAAAATTAAGCTGACTGAGCTCCTACCTCCAGCCTGTTCCAAGGGTTTAAGTGTCCCCTCCCATTTCTGCAGCATTTATTGTCACTTCCTTCCCTCCCTGCACCCGTGGGGTTTGTGAAACCTGCCTAAAAACCCCCCAGTAACAAACCACCTCCCAGATCCAACACTCACTTGGTGCTTCAAACACCAGAGCCAAGGTATCTGCGTTGTCCTCTGCTCGCAGAGTGATGATGTCTTCGTTCCCTGCACACTTCAGGATTTTGGACATGCTGGAGGGGAAAAAGGCAGGTGAGTGACAGGATTGGAAGGTGACAGAGCAAGAACACATACCC